GTGGGGGCCGCAGCGCCGCTTCCGGTGCCGCAGCCTGCGGTTCTCGCAGATTCGGGTTCAGCATGGTTGGTTGGGTTTGGGGGAGGCCTCGGGCCTGGAGGGAGAACCGGGGGACCGTTAGACACCAAAGCTGGAGAGACTGGAGGGCGGGTGGGGACTTAGGGAGCCGGATCTTGCGAGGCCCTGGGCCGCCTTTTAGAAAAACTACCGCGCCGGACGCGGAGATGGTGCCGCAGGAGTGTCTAGGAAGGGTCCAGGGGGCATTTTGATCTTTCGTGTGACCCTACAGGTTTTGGTATGAACAGGATTCGAATTCACGTCCTGCCAACCAATCGGGGAAGGATCACCCCAGTGCCCAGGTCTCAGGAGCCCCTGACTTGCTCATTCACTCATCGCCCATGCTCTCAACCTCGTCTGGAAGGCCAAGAATTCTGTATTAAACATATCCTTGAAGACAAGAATGCACCTTTTAAACAGTGTAGTTACATATCGACGAAGAATGGAAAAAGATGTCCCAGTGCTGCTCCGAAGCCAGAGAAGAAAGATGGGTATATATGTCTATCCGTCTAGTTCGTGTTTTTAGTTTTTTTTTTCTTAAATTTTATTTATTAATGGTGGGGATTGAAGGCAGGACCTCGTGCATGATCAGTACAAATCCCCGCAAAAAAACCCAACCAAACCCACAAAAGCGTTTAATGAGAGAGGAGATATGATATGTGAGCTCGAGCAAAGCTACGAAGTTTTATGTTTGAAACTTTTGGGGGGGGCGGGGGAAGCTCCAAACGTTAAAATGGTGATAAAAGGATACCTGAGGTGGAGTTACTTAGTTGTCTCTTTGCATTTTTCCCTTTTCTGTAAAACGAAGAGACATTGCAGATTACTGCTTTTCTTTTTCTTGTTTTTCCTTCAGTGTTCTGAAGAGTAGAGCCTTGCTTGCTGTGTAGCTTAGGCTCACCTGAAACTTGTAGTCCTTCCACCCTCAGCCTTGGGAATGCTGGGATTAAGGTCTGGACCATCACTCCCAGCTTTAAATTATTATTAATGCTGGGGTACTTGACTCTTGGCTGTCCATATATCTCAATTAAGTAAAATCTAGAGGTCACTCTTGCCTGTAACCCTAGCTACTCAAGAGGTTGAGATCTGAGGATCTTAGTTTAAATTTAAAGCCAGACTGGGTAGGAAAGTCTGTAAGTCAAGGGCCTAAACTCTGTCCCTCAGCTCTTCAGCTCAAGGCTGAAGTGGTAGAGCACCACTTGAGCCACAGCTCCACTCCCGGCTTTTTCTGCTTATGCGATTTTTTTCTGCTTATGCGATGCTGAGGAATCGAACCCAGGGCCTCACGCATGCAAGGCAAGCACTCTACCATTGAGCCACCTTCCCAGCCCTGTAAGATTCTTATTTCCAGTTAACCACCAAAAAGCAGAAAGTGGAGCCGTGGCTCATGTGGTATAGTGCTAGCCATGAGCAAACAAGCTCAAGCCCCAGATCAGAATTTTTTGTTTGTGTATTCTTTTAGAGGAGACTTCATAGCTTTCATCTTAAACGGTTATCTATAGAGAGACATGACTTTACTAGATAACTTCGTATCTTTTAGTTTTAAAACGATTGTACATCTAACTACCAACACTACTTGATATAAAGTGTACCTTCCAAAATTAGTTTTTTGTTTTTGCTGGTTGTGAGGCTTGAACTGGTTGTGAGGCTTGAACTCTGGGCTTGGGAATTATCCCCGTGCTCTTCAGCTCAAGGTGAGCACTCTACCGCTTGAGCCACAGTGCTGTGTCCAGTTTTCTAGTGGTTTATTGGAGATAAGAGTCTCACGGGTTTCCTGCCCGGGCTGGCTTTGAACCATGATCCTCAGATCTCAGCCTCCATAGTAACTAGGATTACAGGCATGAGCCACTGGTGCCCAGCCCAAAATTAGTTTTGAAAAGTAGATCTATGTGTCTCATTTGTGAGACTGTGTCAACATTTTTACAGTGAAAGTTTGATGGCAAGAGCATTGGTTAAGGTTCATTTCTGTTAATAACATCAAATGCTGGCTGGGGTTTAATATTTTAGTAACAGAGCACTTGCATTTGTGACACCTGAAGTTTGAATGACTGCCAACAACATTATACATAAAAAAACCCAAACCAGATGACCTTAGGTCAGTTAAATTCCTCTGGTTCACTGGCCTTTTTGGGTGAATATAAGGCATTTTAATTTCTTGAAAATGTTCCAAAATGTGAAAAGTCACTTAACCCTTTCCAGAGGGACCTATAAAAATATTAATATTTTGTCTCCTTAGGGTGTCCTTCTGTGCCGAACATGCCCGTAGGAATGCCCTAGCACTACACGCTCAAATGAAGAAAACCAACCCTGGACCTGTGGGTGAGACACTTTTGTGTCAGCTGAGCTCATATGCAAAGACAGAGCTGGGTTCTCAGACTCCAGAAAGTAGCCGAAGTGAAGCCAGCCGAATACTGGGTAAGGATTTTCTTTCCTAGAATAGAAAAGGAAGAAGGTTAAGAAAACTATTTTGGTTCAGCACTGTGCTTTCAGCATATGTGGCAATACTACTGTTAATTCATCATCAGGAATTTGGTCACAATTTCGGAATTGCTATGGTGTTTGTCATTCTGGATTTGAAGTAGTTTGTTTAGATTTATTTTCCTGAATTGGTGACCTTTTCCTTGGATAAAGTCCCTCCCCGCCCCCCTTCAAATTTTAAGGTTTTGGATTGATCTCTTAAGTAATTTAGTTTTGTGTGGTGGAGTTACAGAGGTGGGAAGTCTTAATGGCCGCTTTCCCTTCCTTGCCTCAGATGAAGACAGCTGGAGTGATGGGGACCAGGAACCCATTACTGTGGATCAGACTTGGAGAGGTGACCCTGACAGTGAAGCTGATAGCATAGACAGTGATCAAGAAGATCCCCTAAAGTAAGTTGTAGCTCCACATAAGGCTTTTGAATATTTCATGTAGTTAGCATGTAGAATAGAGTATGGCATGTTGCTAATAGATGTTAATTACCTAGGTGGGTTCAGTATCATGGTTCATCATCTTGCTTCACAGCAAGGTTTGGTTCTTTTTTTTTAAACTTTATTCTGAAGCTAAATTGTGCCACCTTTTTTTGGGGGGGGGTCAGTCATGGGGCCTCAACTCTGGGCCTGGGTGTTGTCCCTCAGCTCTTCAGCTCAAGGCTAGCACTCTACCACTTGAGCCACAGCGCCACTTCCAGCTTTTTCTGCTTCTGTGGTGCTGAGGAATCGAACCCAGGGCCTCATGCATGCAAGGCAAGCACTCTACCACTGAGCCACCTTCCCAGCCTAAGGTTTGGTTCTTTAAAGGAAGTCTTGCAACTTGGAAGAATTACTAAACTGAATTGTACCTATCAATCAGTGTGTAGAGGAGAAATTAGGTAGAACTGTTGGACATGGATGTGGGAGGTGGGTAGAATAAAGTTCAGACCATTAATGAAAAGAAAATAGATGTGTAATTGCTGGTCTAAACCTCAGGAATGAAGAGAGGTGATTGTACTTAAGTGCTTATTGCAAATTTCCATGTTTATGGATTTTTCTTAGAAAGGAAAGCAAAGGGTTAAGCAGTTTACCTTGATTTTATGCCTAAGAAGGCAAAACTGATTTAGAAACTTAGGAATCTCCTAATTATATCTTACTAAGGTTTTGCCCTTTATCTAACCTATGATCACATTAGGAGGTATGGAAACATCAAAATGTTGATATTATTCCAAAATCTCTCCCTTTTTTATTTTTTTTTTGGGTCCAGTCGTGGGGCCTGAACTCTGGGCCTGGGCGCTGTCCCTCAGCTCTTCAGCTCAAGGCTAGCACTCTACCACTTGAGCTACAGCACCACTTCCGGCTCTTTTTCTTTTTGCTTATGTGGTGCTGAGGAATCGAACCCAGGGCCTCGAGCATATAAGGCAAGAGCTCTACCACTGAGCCACTTTCCCAGCCCCTCCAAAATCTCTTATGTGTCCTGGTTTGGTTTTAGTTTTTTCTTCTCATTTCTGTCTTAACACTTCCCTGCTGGCACTTCAGGTAGAAATACTTGTATAGAATGAGGGATAATGGATAGCGTTAATTGATGGATTTTAAAAAATTCATATATATATATATATATTGGCAGTGCATAGGGCTTTGTGCTTATTTGATGAGCCACAACTCCATGCTTTTTTGCCCTTTTTCAGGGGAGGTAGTACTGAGAATTGAACTAGGCTGTATACATTATAGGCAAGTATTCTTTTGTACCTTTTTTTATGCTATTTTATCATTTTTTTTTTACCTGGTCCTGGGCTTGAACTTGGGCCTGGGCACTCTTCCTTAGCTTTTTTGCTTAAGAATAGCACTCTACTCGTTGAGCTATAGCTCTATTTCTGGCTTTTTTGGTGGTTAATTGGAGATGAATTCTACTGACTTTCCTTTCTCAGCTGGCTTTGAACCATGATTTCAGCCTCTTGAATAACTGGGATTACAGGTGTGAGCCACTAGTGCCTGAAAAGTATATTTTTAAATTTTAATTTATTTTTTATTGTTACAAAGGTGATATGGGGGTAGTTGTGCAGGTGGGAGGGAAGGGATGATAGGGGAAAAACAAAGGAGGCAACAATGCTTGATAGGAAATGTGCTCATACCTTGCTCATATAACTGTAACCCTGTACAGTATTTTTTATTTTTTTTTTGATCCAGTCGTGGGCCTGAACTTGTACAGTATTTTTACAATAAAAAATGTACCAAAAAAAAGGTGATGGGGCTGGGAAGGTGGTTCAGTGGTAGAGTGTTTGCCTTGCATGTATGAGGCCCTGGGTTCGATTCCTCAGCACCACACAAGCAGGGGAAAAAAAGCTGGAAGTGGTGCCGTGGCTCAAGTGATAGAGCGCTAGCCTTGAGCTGAAGAGCTGAGAGACAGGGCCCAGGCCCAGAGTTCAGGTCCACGACTGGATCCCCCAAAAAAGTGATATACAGAGGGGTAACACTTAAGTCAGTAATACATACAGTTTAGGACCTGGGTGCTGTCCCTGAACTCTTTTTGTTTAAGGCTAGTACTTTAACACTTGGAGTCACAGCTCCACTTCCAAGCTTTGTGGTTAATTGGAGTTAAGAGTCTCAGGGACTTTCCTGCCTGGTCTGGCTTTGTACCACAATCCTCAGATCTCCTGAGTAGCTAGGATTATAGGTGTGAGTCACTGACGCCTGGCTTAAACTTAGTACCTGATGCTTTCCCTTATTGGTTGGTGCTCTACCATCTGAACCAGGCCTCCAACCCCTTAATTAAAATCTTAAGCTGTGGTGGGGAGTTGGGAAGGTATCGGAAGGGGAAACAAAGGAGGAGGCAACAATGCTTGGTAAAAAATGTACTCATTATCTTGCACATGTAATTGTAACTCCTCTGTACAGTATTTTCACAGATAAAAAAAACCATGAGGGCTGGGAAGGTGGCTCAGTGGTAGAGCGCTTGCCTTGCATGCCTGAGGCCCTGGGTTCGATTCCTCAGCACCACATAAGCAAAAAGAAAAAA